TCACTTTCAAATTAAATGTGACTATATATATATATATATATAGGGTAAATTACACTGATATCCCCTAAGGTTTATGTTTATTACAATTCCCCCTTCACGTTTTGGAATTACATCTCCCTCCTTGAGGTTTAAAGTTTCATTACAAATTCCCCCCTTAACAATTTAATTTTTTTAAATACTAATTTTGCCCTTACTGGGTAAATTACATTGACACCCCTTATATTTTAGAAACTACAATCCCCTCCCTAAGGTTTAAAGTAGCATTACCAATTTCCCCATCGGTTAGTATTAATTGGAAAAAAAATTCATTGAAAAAAAATTAATTGGAAAAAAAATTATTTAAAAAAAAAAATTGTTAGTAAAATTTTTAAATTCTGTTTAAAAACCAATATAAACTTATTTTTTGAATTTACGTTTTTCCCTCAAATTTACAAACTGAGACAACCATTTATAAATCAAAAAAATTATCAAATAAGTTTTTATCACAATTTTTAAAATTTTTGTAAATATAAATTGAAAACTGAAAGCGAAATGGTTACCAAAGCTTCAGATGGTAAAAATATTATAAAATTAACAAATAATTAAATAAGTTACCAACGTAAGAAATGACTTATCAAAAGATTCTTAGGCTACGTATGATTTGATTTTTGAAATTTTTTTAAAATTAAAAATTAATTTGGTTAAGAAATATAAAATAAAAAATAATTATCATTTTTATATAATTTTTATCTTTCGAGTGGTTAGAAATAATTTTTTACAAATTAAATTGAAACAACCATACGTATGTATATAACCTGCCCAAAAGTTAAAATGATATTTTACCCTTAAATGATAATTATTTTTTAGTTTTTATTTCTTAGCCAAATTAATTTTAAATTTTTAAATTTTTTTTCTAAAAATCAAACCATATATGGCCTAAGAATCTTTTGATAAGTCATTTCTTACGTTGGTAACTTATTTAATTATTTGTTAATTTTACAACATTTTTACTATCTAAAACCTGTTTGCTAAGCTGCTATTTGGTAATAGTGTTACCAAACGGCACCTTATGTTTTCAGTTTTCTGTTTATATTTACAAAAATTTAAAAAACTCAAATAAAAACTTGTTTGGTAAATTTTTTATTTATAAATCAGTGGTCTCAGTTTATAAATTTGGCCAAAAAAATATAAACTCAAAAAATGTGTTTCCGTTTTGAGTTTTTTTTTTTTACCACCCAACACTAGCCACCACCCGCCACCATTTTCCACCACTGTCTTCCGCCACCACCACCACTTACCACCCACTTGCCACCACCAGCCACCACCACCTACCTGTCACCCACTCGCCACCACCACCCATCCCTCACCACCCACTACCACCAGCTACCCACCACCCACCACCCACCTGTCACCCACTCGCCACCACCACCTACCACCCACCACCACCACTACCACCTACCACCCACCT